TGGCTGCCTCTGCCTCAATTTTATCCCACAACTTAGACATTCACATTATTCACACTCTCATTACACATACATATAGGATCTTGGGGGTGGGCACAATCACGGAGTCCAAATTACCATCAGGGTGTATACCTCACCCCTGACGTCGTTGCCCACCTCTCAATTTTAAATACACTTAGTCATTGAGGGCTAGCAGGAGGGACTATGCGCTTACCTGCTGCTCCTTGGCAGGTAGCTCCATGCCCTCCTGGGTTTTAATTGCACCTTAGAACACATATGCATCAACACTACAATGAGCGGGTGGAGGGAGGTTTGGAGTCTTCTCCCACCCCCATTCTCTGCGGCCTGCTGGAGCGGGAGGGCTAGTAGGAGGAGTTGGCCGTCCGACTGCGGTCTGGGGTGTGGGGCCTCCCTGCTGCTGCGGAGTCGGGGTGGTCTGCCTCTCCCCACCGCAGGGAAAAGGGTAACACCACCTGGGTCTGGGTGCAATTCCCCCCTCCAGGGGCAAGGGTACCTAGACCCGGTTTGTAGAGTACGCTTGGGGAGTGTGGTTGTGTGTACAGCGTCTCTTTATGTCTGTCTCCACGTTGGTTGAGTGTGGAGTGAGTGCATATGAGAGCATGAGGGTGGGAATGGATGTTTGTGTCTGTGTGTGCCCGTATGTCTGTGTCTAAATGTCAGGTTGGGTATCAAACGCCACCTCTCTGGGGACACCTCAGGCCCTCCAAGGTTTGGAGGCCTATCTCCACCCACCACCACTTCCCCTGCCGGTGGCGGACTCCCTCAGGTGTCGGTGTGTTGGTGGTTCTTTGTATCTGGGGGTGGGCGTCCGGGTACACACCGGCTCACTCCTTGGCGGCCGCTTGTCGGGGCCTGGGGCCTGGGGCTCGCTCGGGCCCCTTTGGAGGTGGGGTGCCCCCGGCCTCTCGGCCTGGGGCTCGGTCACTCAGGCACAGCTGGGGGCCGGCGGAGCTCACGGGCGCGTCACTGCAACTCCCCCTGACTTCTGCTCCGCGGCTGCTGGGCGAGCCCTCATCTGGGACTCTCCTCAGCTCTTACTGGAACAGTGGCGCGGCTGCCCCTCTGTTGGTCTTCCATGGTCTCTTGTATTCTGGGGGCCTCTGGATGTCTGGAGTTTTGATCTCCTCCATACCTGCTTCACACCCTGGAGGACGGGGCTGTGGCCCCCCCACACTCCCTAGCAGATCATTACATGGAGAAACCTTTGGAATGCAAGCATGCTGATCCACACAGGTATGCACACATGGGTATTCACAGACGCGGACTAAAGCTTTCTTGGCTGCTGCCTCAAAGCACACTGCACACTATCTTGCGTGCTGCACAATATCGTTTATTATTTAGTAAATATTGATATCTATGACTAGCTAGTTTATTGTGATGGTGCTTTGTTTTCTCTATTATTATGTTACTCTTTGTTGTTTGCTGTCTCCTCTGTTTGTTTTTTTTGTTTGTTTGTTTTTTTTTCTCCATACAGGTGACCCAGGAGTTCTTTTTTTTTTTTTTCTCTCTCTTCCCCCCCCTTCTCACCGTCTCTTCTCCCCTTTGGTTTTCTTTCTTTCTCTCATTCATTCCCCCTGTCCTATTTATAAAAAAAAAAAAAAAAAAAAAAAAAAAAAAAAAATGACAAAGGATGAACTGAAGCTCTGCCATCACGTAATGTCGCATACTGCTGTTTCTGATGTCATTTAAAAAAAAAAAAAAGACCCAGCCTCGTTTCATCTTCAAAGTTCTCACTGATGGAAGGAGGTTTTGGCTCAAAATCTCACGATACATGGCCCCATTCATTCTGTCCTTAACACGGATCAGTCGTCCTGTCCCCTTGGCAGAAAAACAGCCCCATAGCATGATGTTTCCACCCCCATGCTTCACAGTAGGTATGGTGTTCTTGGGATGCAACTCAGTATTCTTCTTCCTCCAAACACGACGAGTTGAGTTTATACCAAAAAGTTCTACTTTGGTTTCATCTGACCACATGACATTCTCCCAATCCTCTTCTGTATCATCCATGTGCTCTCTGGCAAACTTCAGACGGGCCTGGACATGCACTGGCTTCAGCAGCGGAACACGTCTGGCACTGCGGGATTTGATTCCCTGCCGTTGTAGTGTGTTACTGATGGTGACCTTTGTTACTTTGGTCCCAGCTCTCTGCAGGTCATTCACCAGGTCCCCCCGTGTGGTTCTGGGATCTTTGCTCACCGTTCTCATGATCATTTTGACCCCACGGGATGAGATCTTGCGTGGAGCCCCAGATCGAGGGAGATTATCAGTGGTCTTGTATGTCTTCCATTTTCTGATGATTGCTCCCACAGTTGATTTTTTCACACCAAGCTGCTTGCCTATTGTAGATTCACTCTTCCCAGTCTGGTGCAGGTCTACAATACTTTTCCTGGTGTCCTTCGAAAGCTCTTTGGTCTTGGCCATGGTGGAGTTTGGAGTCTGACTGTTTGAGGCTGTGGACATGTGTCTTTTATACAGATGATGAGTTCAAACAGGTGCCATTCATATAGGTAACGAGTGGGGAACAGAAAAGCTTCTTACAGAAGACATTACAGGTCTGTGAGAGCCAGAGATTTTCCTTGTTTGAGGTGACCAAATACTTATTTTCCACCCTAATTTACGAATAAATTCTTTACAAATCCTACCATGTGAATTCATGGATTTTTTTTTCACATTCTGTCTCTCACAGTTGAAGTGTACCTCTGGTGCAAATTACTGACCTCTGTCATCATTTTAAGTGGGTGAACGTGCACAATCAGTAGCTGACTAAATGCTTTTTTGCCCCACTGTATGTTGGGCAGACGAATGAGGTTGTTATACACTGTCTGTATGTGAGAGCCTACTTGTAAAACTGTAATCAGGATGCATTATTAAATGTGTGATTCACATTTTCTACTGTGGGCCTTAATGAAACTGAGCGCGAGAGGCATGATGTGGAAAGATGGATGAGTGGAGAGCGAAGATGGATGGACGGGGGGGTAAAAATGCATAAGAGAAAAAAAAGGAGAAGATATTGGAGAGAGGGAAAAGAAAAAGCAAGTGAAAATAAAGATAAAAGACAGAGAGATTAAAAGTGGATGACAGGTAAGTGAGAAGACAAGACAGGTGAATGAGAACAGGGGGAATGCAGTCAGAATAAATGGCACATAGTGTGTGGGATTTCACTGATGCATGCAGGCGCTTGCTGTGCTGGACTGTAATGTGCTGCACTCTGACACAGAGCTTCTTGGTCTACAGATTGCATATTTGATTTGATCTATAGTATAAAGCAACTATTCTGACCAAGCAGAAAAGGTCAAGGTATTTAATTCATATAGTTTGACCCTGTAAATCTGAATCATCATTGATTATGACTCTAAGCTTGCACTGTCATAATATATCATTTTTCATTTGATTTTAATTAATCTCTTGACAAGTCTTGACATTTGTGAGACAAAAAACAACTTGTTTTTGCTTTCCTGATAAACATAGGCTTAGACTTCATAGCTAGGGCTGGTTTCATCACCGATGACCTCACAGGTTAAAGTTACTTTTTGTAATTATTGTATGTAATTAAAATTTTTTACCAAATATTTTTGTTTTGCTGCCCAGCTCTGTAGTATAATGCAAAAAGGAAACAGGTGATCAATAGGTGTTGATGTGAGAGTGTCTCTCTCTATTAGCCCTGTGAGCTATTCACAGTCTGTTCAAGGTGACTATCAATGATCCCACAGTTTACAGCTGGATATAAAGCACTAATCACATAGAGTAATTATATTTGTCCCACAGCATTAATAAAAAGCTAACCAAGAAAACATCTCAGCACTGTCGGTAACAGTTGGCTCCATTTATCAGGGTTCATCACTTTTACCTCACCAGTCTAGCAGAAATGTTGTAACTTGAGTGCCAACACTCTTTCCAGCAGTGAAATGATAGTCCTTTTTTTTCAATTCAATTGAATTCAATTTTATTTATACATCGCCAAATCACAACAGTCGCCTCAAGGTGCTTTATATTGTAAGGTAGATCCTGCAATAATACATACAGAGAAAAACCCAACAATCTGATGACCCCCTATGAGCAAGCACTTTGGCGACAGTGAGAAGGAAAAACTCCCTTTTAACAGGAAGAAACCTCCAGCAGAACCAGGCTCAGGGAGGGGCGGGGCCATCTGCTGCGACCGGTTGGGGTGGGAGAAGGAGGACAGGATAAAGGTATGCTGTGGAAGAGAGACAGAGATTAATTTTTTTACCATTTTCTTTCTCAGCATAGTTTCTTTTTGGGATGTGGTGCTTGTGGTGATACGCGTCACTTTCCAGGGGCCTTAGCCATTATTTGCTTTTATATTAACTAGAATAGCATAGGGCATCCTGGATTCTGCATTGACAAACATCTTGTAGGACAAGTTCATTTTGCAATATATCTCATCCCTGGTTTATCTTGCATTGATGTCTCTGTAACAAAACTGATTTTTTTCTTCTTTTATTATCTGATCAAGAGCAGACGTGGTTGAAAAAGTACTGCTACAGTGAAGCAATGAATAGAAGAATTGGAGTTGTGCAGCTGTTGATTTCATTGCGTACGGACCTTGTGGACATGAAGTCATGGTGTTTTTTTCCGTTACATTGTGTTTACAGCTCTAGTTAGTTTTTGAAGGTTTTACTCTGTTTTTAAACAAAAGGATTTTCAATGACTTGAGGACCTTGTAAAAAAAACCCAGCACAGTTGAATCGAGCTTTTATTTTAGACCATAAGATAAAGAAAGTGGATTTGTTTGTTTTCTGTCGTTTCATTACGTTACTGTTACAACAGCCTGCTTTATCTAAACCACTTAGGGAAAAACAGACGGTTTGAAAATTGCAGGTTATGAAGGTGTAATTTGCAGTTGAGGCATGTTTGTACCCCATGCCAGCAAGAAAATTAGAAATCAAGTTTCTTCCCCGATCAACACAATACAAGTCATTTTTTTCCGCCAGACGCCAGATACCTGTGCTACACTTTCATACCTGCATCTGTGTCACGTAGACTGGCTTGTTGATGAGTATCCACGTGGATGTCTCATAGCAGGGAGGAATGGTGATGGAGCCCTCGTAGGTGATATAACGTGTGGTGTCGGGGTAGAGGTCAGCTATGTTCAGACCCATCAATAAGAAGGCATCGTCTAGAGAAAAGAGAAAAATGGCAGGGGGAGCCCGTTAGGCTGTGTGTGCAAGTTCGCTTATGTTCTAACCTATTAACAGAGACACCAGTCAAATGAAAAACAGAAAAATGTGCGTCTTTTAGTGCATTCATCACATTATCACAGTTAAATTAGAACTTTAAAAATACAAGTGCTGACGAGATGCATCTTTACATTTTAATATAAAGACTCATGCTTTTCCAGTTGCATATGTCTATACCAAAACTCCACTATTTTGAATGTGCAAGTGCTCTGAGTACCCAGGTGGTGTATTCATAGCACTCAAAATGCTAAGTGCACACTTGTGTTGGCCATGTAATAGAAAGAGAAGGACCAACAAACAACTTCACCCGGCAGAAGGAGGCTATATGTCAACCTAACATCTGCACATTTTTAGCAGGTATTGTTGGTACAAATAATGTGCTGAGGCATATTTTATGCACGTTAAATTATCAGCTTCACTGTGTGCTCAGAGGCACTATAACTCACAAATCTCATATTATATAATAGCAAGTATGATAATCATGGTCCAACATTGCAAACCTAAGTATGCGGTACTACATGAAAGTGAATCAGCAGAAGTATCCATACTCAGACTCCTGGTGTAACGTTGGAATAAAGTAAGGGTTAGGGTTGGGTAAGAAATGGTTAGGGTAACTCCTCACTACATCATTAAACCCTCACTGAATTTATTAGACACAATAAATAAAGTGTTGACTGGCAAACATGGCCTACAATTGGAGGGTTGCCGCATGGCCGACACTTTTTGGGCAGTTCCTCCTACAGCCGGCCAATCTCCAGCAACTGTGTGGTGCTATCATGTCAATATGGATCATACGTTTGAGGGATATTTCCAGCAACGCAATGAACCACATAAAAGGGAATCAAACCCAGCATTGGCAAGATCTAACTAATAAAGAAGCTGGTGAGTGTAAGTCCGTGTAAAACCTTTCTGAAGTGACTGAACCACGATTTCTCTGCTTGCATAGGGTTATTTCAGGACCATTATTAGGTTTTAAAAGAAGTAAAGCAATTGCTGGTCTTTTCTTTCTGAGTTACCTTCAAAGGTTTGTTTTAAAGTATTAGGGTTAGGGTTAAATGAGAATAAGGTTTGGTTTAGGTTATGGACTTTGATGTTAATAGCCAGGGTGGGTAAAAAGCTCAGGAATGCATTTATCAAAGGTTAGGATCGTGGTGTGAATGTACAGCTCAGATCTATCACATGGCCAGATTACCATGCAACTTCTAAATTTTGGAATAGCCTTTCTAAGACCATCAGGTTGGCTGAATCGATACTCATACTGTTTCCTTTTCCTTCATTTGCTCAGTTTTTGGGGAGGTCTATGACACCATGTCTGCATCCTGAGACATGTACATGTTTGTTTTTGTCCAAATAACAAAGCGCTTAGTAACTGTGCTTTTTATGAAGTGCTATTCAAATATAGTTGCTGTTCTTATTATCAGTTACATTAGTCACATCTAATTTAAGAACTCACTGCTGGTTCCCACAGGTAGTCCTCAACATTAACTTGAATTGGATCTTGGTTTAGATTAGTATAACCTAAGTTTACGGAGAATAAGGATAAGCATATGGATGTCTTGTGGTTAGTCTGTGTGGTTGTTATGTAGTTCTGCTATGTTTAGCCTCATTAACAGGAAGAGAGTTCATCAGAGGACTGTACATCTTCACAGCAGAGGCTGGAAAGCAGATTGTGGGCAATATAGCACTGATTCATATGTAATTAATGAAGCTTTCTTTCTGAAGACAGATTTAACTATCAGGGAGCATTGTTATGTAAAACAAGATGTAGACTGATTTTGTAGTGTCAGAATGAACTGTTGTGTAGCAGCTTTAGAGGTTCAAGACAGACTCCTAAGTCCGTCGTGGTGTATTCAGACCAAACAGTAGTGAAGCTTTGCTTCATGTTACTTTCATGAATATAATTAGTGAACTGTTTCCAGACCGTTTCACTTTCACCCAGGACAATGAAAGAACAATTACCTTTACTTACTCCGACCAATAGCTGGAATAAAGAATGGAGTAAGAGGCTAAACTGAAGTTGAAGCATTTTCAAAATGTACCTCTAGAGTACAGTGAAAAAGTATTCGCCTTCATCACTTTTTGTATATTTACTTAAATGTTTCAGATCACTGTAATGTAAAATGTAAGTATTAGACAAAGATAAATACAAAATGCAGTATTTAAATGTTTATTACATTTATTCAGAGAAAGAAGTCCAAACCTACCACCTGTTAAATCATTCACAAACTGTGAATAACCTCTTTTTTTTGGAAAACTAAGTTCAAATTCAATAGCCACAGCCAAGAGTTATTGTCAAAAGACCTGATGAATCAAGAAATCACTTACACTGAATTTGTCTATCAAAGTGAAGAAAGTTAAAAGACTAAAAAGTAAAACATATTATGCCACAATCTAAAGAAACTGCAGAGAAACAAAGTCATTTGCTGTTTATCTACATATATGTACAAATGTACAAACTGCAATGTAGACTGTGCTCTGCAAAAAGTCCTCAGACGTAAACTTCAAATCCAAGATCTACTTGCAAAAGAAGCTGTCATGATCCTGGGTCTTTTGACCTAGCGTTTTTAGTTTGAGTTTATTTTGTTCATTAGGTTATCTAAGTTCATTTGGTTATTAGACTCCTTGTGTTTTCTTCCCCTGTATTTAAGTTTCCCCTCACCCTTCGTGTTTCATGCTGCGTGTCTTATGTTATCAAGTTTGTATTATCATGTCTGTCTCATGTTTCCTGTTTTATTTTGAAGGAGTCGTGTGTTCTTTGTTCATTGTATTTAGTTTCACTTCCCTTGTCCTGTCATTAGGCTCATGTCAGTCAGCTGTTCCTCCATGTGTTCCCACTTCCCCTAATCACCTCCTGTGTATTTAAGTCCTCTGTTTTCAGTGTGTGATTGTCAGGTCGTCTGTTGTCCACACCATGTTTCCCATGCTTCCTAGTTCCTTGTCTAGGTTTTTCTTATTGTTTGTTTAGATTTCCCAGTTTAGGTTTGTGTTAATTTTGCTTCAGTTTGCCTTGCCCTTTGTTTGTACCTTTTTTACCAGCCATATTAAACGGCTTGTTTTTTGTTAACATTCAAGTTCTGTTCCCTGTTCCTTGGAGTCTGCATTTTGGGTCCTTTTTTCAATTCATACAGTCTGCCCTCGCCAGACTGTGACAGAAGCAAAAGTCCTAACCACTACATCATTGTGCCACTTGTTAACACTCTGCTCAAAAACTTTGCATTGGTCTGAACACAGCATAAGATTTGGTGCAAGTAGAATGCTGATGACCTAAAATAAAGTGAGGCCCTATGTTTCTGTATATATGGTTATATAGAGATGAAAATTCAAGAAGCAAACATCATAGAAGGTTATATACAGTACATATAAAGTTTTCAAGAGGTTTGTAAATGTTCTGAACTGAATTAGCTCATCTAAAGACAAAAAGAATAAGTGTGTATATGTGTGTGTCAGGTAAAGACTGTGCATCTTACGTTTGTAGTTAATTCTGGTGATGGTGTCTCTATTGAGCATACGGTTGAGGAAGGCGTTGGAATTTTCAGAGAGCTGAAAAGGAGAATCACAGACAATCACAAACACATAATGCTATAAAACATGTAGCAAATGCAAGTTTTTTTTCTTCCATGCACTCTATTTCATTTAGATAATGACAATAAATAATCCACAACTGAGAGGTTTTAAAGCCGTATGTTAGAGAGTACATGGTAAAAGCTCTTCTGCAAGTTTAATTCAATACAGTGTTATACATACATAGATACATACAGGGGGATATAGATGATAGTCTGATTCTCTGACCGAATGCTCAGTGTCAGGATAAAAGCTCACAGTCATAAATTGTTCTTCGGATTTGGCCAAGATTCAAGAGCAATTACACTCAACACCATTAAATCAAAACAGCCATCTTTCACCTCTGTGATGTCACTGGAAAAGAAGTGGATGAAGATGCAAAGAAACACTCTTGGTTGTTTTGTTTTTTCAGAACTTCATGATGCATCCCATCAGATTGTGTCAGGTATAAAATACTACATATGACAAACTAATTTGTCGTTATGACAGAAGCTGCAAACCAAGTGGTTAGCTAGCACAGAATAAAACAAAAAGGAAAGTTGAAAGCAGATTTCAACTGAGGAGTCAGACACTCAGTGAGTTGCCATGTTTAAGCCTGTGAAAGAAGCTGGAACAGACTTGCATAAATGTGTGCAACAACAAAATTAAAGATTTATTACTTTGCTTTTACATCAGGACACATCTCGTGTTATTATGTGCACCGTACTGGTAGGAGCTGTCAGGCTGTTGTGAGCCAGCTGAATGGAATGCATCTTGTAGAACTGCAGTCAGAATACATTATTCTGCATGACTAATGTTATAAAGACTAATACGCCTGTTCTGTGGACTAGTTATGAGGGCTATATTTGGATCAAACTCTGAAAGGGCTATATAACACACACACACACACACACACACACACACACACACACACACACACACACACTTTCAATTAAGTTAAAGCATGTCAATAAACTCTATACTGTATATCTGGCTCTTAATGAGATTCTCTCTGTGTGGCCCTTAGTGAAACTGAGTTTATCACCCCTGCACTACACCTCTGTATTCTGGCTGTTTTTTGTATGAGTCTTGGGGTGTCTGAGACCAGCATTAATTGCTTTTTTACTCTATTGCCCTGTATTCCCAGAAGAACAAGCAGACCTTTATGAAGATGGAAACCACAGCAATTCCATGAGGGCTCTTAGCTGCCTCGCTGTAGTTGGCATACAGATCTTGATTATAATGGATCAGCTGGACCTGAAAGGAAAAAACAAATTTACAGCAATTTATAGAATATTTCTAGCAAAGATGCAGCTTTTACAACTTAAATTTCACCATAATACAAAAAAAACAAAACTTTTTTGCATACTTTCCTTTTTTGACGAAGGTGCTTAACTGACTGAAGGAAGGGAAAAGAATTCTGAGGTGTGTAGCATTAGCAACAGCCTTCTAACATGTATGTTTTGGAAAACTTCTAATTTGACAGAGGACATGGATGACTGAGAACCTTCACAGACGTACTGACAGAGGACGTTAAAGTATAATGATCATGCCACTAGTCTTCAAAAGTCAGGGCTATCTAGTCATAGTCAATTTTCACAAACTTTTAAATGCGGGTATAACAAGGAAGAAACAAACACAAAAAAAGAGGGAAAGCGCTGTGCAATAAATTAAGCAGACATATTTATTTCCTAAAACAAAAGAGGTATATCTATCAAGGTCTCCTGGGAGCAGAGTGAAAAATGAGAAGCAAAGAATGCGTCATAACATTTATTTAATTTTATTAGGAAAATAGCATATCCAAACTACAACTTACAGTATACATTGTGCTTTTACTAAAGTTTCAAAGCTTGCTGGAGAATTTTTCAGTTAGTGTTTTTCTGATAACGAGGCAGCTTGCTAACCTGGTTTGCAAGACGCTAAAAACCAACAGAGTTTCAACAAAGATTCTATTATTAAAAAATAATAATTTAAAAATGACAGCAATGCCCATGTTTTATGCAATCTATGCTTCCTTTCCTTTTTAATTCCAGTTTTGATGTAATTCCTCAACAGGCTCTTGGGTTGGTCCAAATGTCTGAAAAAACTACAAAGAAAGGCTTCTGGGGCCAAACAATATCTGATGTGTGTCCACTCAGCCACCCTATAAAAGCCATTTGACCGCATGTATTTGTGCTGCCATTTGTTTGGCCCTGACCCGAAAATAATGATCAAAAGTGAAGACTGGAACATAAGCTGACTTATAAATCAAGAACTGCTCCTTCAGGCTGAGCTCCAGTTCAATCCCCAGTTAATACTGCCTGACCGATTCGATTTTTGACTCACAAACAAGAATCGGAAAAACTTTTTTCTTTTAAAAAGTATCTGGGGGTGTGTTACTCTTCACTCCTATGGCAGAGTAAGCAGGTTCTAAATTATGATCAAAACTCGATATTGATATGCTTTAAAAGTATATCAATATATGTAACTCTGACAAGTTAATGAAAAGCACTTCAAATCACGACCTCCACAGTTACACCTTCCCTCCGATAAACCATAGGCAACAACAGAATGTATAAGCGATGAACTAAATTCATTTTAACCAAATAGAAAGACAAAAGAATTACTCATCTTCTTTGTTTATTTTAAAATAATGCTTTTGTTGTTTTTCAACATTTAATTCAAAAGTTTAGCATTTGAAATTCTTTTTTGGAATTCTGAATTTCTGAAATAATAAATCAAATAAAATCAGTCATATTATCCAAACTTATAAGAACTCCTGTTAAATTGAGTTTTTCAGTTATAGAACACTGTGGAACTTAAAGGTCTTTGGAAAATTGCATCAAATATTTATACAATTCTACCAACACAGAAACTCATTTTCTCTTTCTCTCTATTTTAAAATGGCCAGAAGACTTTTTTAATGGTACCGATGCTAACTTCTTAACTCAAATTTGCATTAACATCTCTTCAACACACAGTTACATTTTATACAGCTTACGAGTTCTAGATAGAACAGACTACACAGGCGATAGATAACATATTAGTGAATTAAACAAATCTACACACTGCTTTCAGTACACCCCTGATAAGTACTGGCATGTTATTTGTCACTGCTTCAGATCACCTTTCGCACTTATTGGGCTGCTGCATCCCCACAACTCTGCATCTCAGGCAACTTATTATTCCAATTCCAAGCTTCGTCTGCTTTGGTTCACCTTGCAGTTCTAAGTATTGCCGTGAATGTTTTTTTAAACAAACGAGGCATGATCATTAGTTATCGATAAATGTTGCCTGATTCTTAGTGCCAATGAGAAACAATTATCTTTCATTTTTACTAGCATCTCTAATTTCATTGTTACTATTATTGTATAGTTATTATTACAAGTAAAATTTACATGTTCTTGTCATCATCAGTATTAGTATATCCTAATCCTTTGCCATCTTCGCACTACATGAATATTGTGTCTTGACTACTAAAACCTGTTGTTCATAGGTTGTATAAACACTGGCTTGTCTCCTGAACAGTACTTACAGTTATTTAGAAAGAATAGTAGTAGCTCTTTTGCTCTGAGTTTTGATTTAGTGAGTGAGATTACTGATTCTTCCAGAACATCTCTGACAGAAGTGAAATCACAAATAAAATTTGCATAACAAAACCGAGAAGTGTCTCAGAAGTGTACACTTTCATCTCTGTGGACAGGGTGGATTTACAAAACAAATGCACCATTGTTATTACTGTTTGGTTAAAGACAGACAAGCTTGGGGTCTCTCCACAGAGCCCCAAACTGAACATTTTCAATTTTGGCAACAAGGTTTGAATTTCCACTGAGATGGATTACTGGCTCAGTGTTCAAGTCTAAGGTTTTATGTATCATGCTGTATCATGTTCTATGTGTCAAACATAGAAGATAGCCTCTTTTAATCAGCTAAATGTGTTTATTATTACAGAAACATCATCCCAGTGGACACTCTTTCAAGGATGAGGATGTACACATCCTGACAGGGAGGAACGCTGGTTTGAGCGCGGAGTCAAGGAGGCCATTTACGTGAAAAAGGAAAGACTATCTCTGAATCGAGGAGGGGCCTAAGGGTACATCTTTCACCATCTTACAATGCTGTGATTGCAGCCATTCCCCAACTCTCTGTGAATGGTACTCATGGCCATTGATCAGTGGGCTTTGATCAGTGGGTTTTGGTCAGTGATTGTTGATCAATGGTCATGAGAATTTGCATAATTATGATTAAGGAACTGACCTCCCAGCCCATTGTTCCTTCAGTCGGCTGGTTTCAGTCATTATGCAAATGTACTGTTTATAAGATTGAAACCTGCAGTCAGCTGAGACTGAAGAAGTCACTTGGATGAGTAATGAAACGTTTCTCCCACAAAGCGCTATGTCCAGATGAACACAATCAACTTTTGGAGATTTACTTACCTGGATGATTGAGAATGCATCAAGATGTAAACACTAACACACTAGTGGTTGAGTTCAGTTTAATTTTTTAGTTTTTCTGCTTATAGAAACATCTGATAGCGTTACCTGTGTGTCGTACAATAAGATAGCTATAGAACAACCCTGCATCTAAGAGGTGTGATAACATCACTTTTAATGGAAACTCATGCAAACTTCAAAGTGTAAATTACAAAGATGCAAGTCGACTGCATACAGGCCTACAATCTTATATTCTTTATTTATAGGCATATTTCACTAAAGCAGTATATTTACATTTTACAGCATTTACACAAGTACTAGGAGAAAACACAAAGAACATATGTTTAACAAGTTGACAGGTGCAAAGTGCGACAGGCAGACAGGAGAGACATGTTCTGATAAAACCGATGCATTATCACTGAGACACATGATCCCTTTAATAAGGAAACAATACAATAAAGGGATAGTAGTCTGAATTCTAGACTGAAACTGCAAAATCAGTTAAACAATCCTATCAGTTATAGCTTTTATAGTTCATATAACAGTAGGCACACCTGGACATTGGCTTCAGGCAGACCAGGTGTCATCTGTAGAGCCCACTTTGCAGCATCAGTGTCTTAGAGATTTCCAGAGTTGGAAGCTGCCATAAGCTATCCTCACCTCGGAAAATGTCCAAAGCCACAGTGAGTGGTTTTATCAGCAATGTTAGTAAAGGAACCAATACACATTGATGGAGTCAACGGCTAGTCGGCTACAGAGATTGTTCAAAGCTTGCATGGGAATGTCTGTAACGTAGGATGGGGCATCATGACATCTGATTTCCATCTCGTTGTTGTCGGCACAGTGAGTTTTTATCCAGTCCAAAGGCCAGAGTATTTTCCTGTTGCACTTCTGTACACTGATATGGACTCTGATATGTGTTTGCTGTAAGCCATTTGTCAACATCATTACTTGAAATTAAGTTTAGTGTGTATCTCAGGTAAAGGGGGAGAGAAAAATGTCCTTGGTCAGTGTCAGTGGAGCGCACGTTTCCAACATCTGTGAATGTCACAGCTTGTTCTTCATCCTCTTCATCAGAACCTGATGCTGTGGGCTCATACATCTTGAAAGCCTTCAAAAAAATTTGTTCCATTGTCAGTGACAGTTGCCGTGTCTTTGCGTGACAATCCATAAACTGAATGAATCAGTTCAATTTCACTAGCTATAACATCGTATGTGTGTCGTTCTTTCAGTTGCTTGCAGACAGTTGCAGCTTTGTCATAGTGAAAGTTATTCGTGTTAATCCAGTCACAGGAAGCTTTTATTGTGGCAAGTCCAAATGTCAACAGTCGTAGACAAACATGCAGAGCTCTGAAATGTTTTCTTTAACTCAGTTTCCATTGCTAGTCGATACATCTGGAGAAACTTTTCCTGTCTGAGACTGGTCTTTTTCCTGTTTTTGGTCATTTGCTAAATAGCTTTCTGAAAGATGGCCATCCCATCATAAAATATTTCCTCCACTATGTATGATGCCACCGGCCTGTTCATCTCTGCTTTGGTTACCTGCTGAAAACAAGCTTTGGTTGCTTGCTTGGGGTCACCATACACCGTCTGAGTGTCACTCTCGCTCCTCCTGTGGGACTCTTTGATACCAGCTTAGTGTTAGTGTAAGTGCTTGGAGAGATCGGAAGTCGTGTTTGCAGCAGTGGGGAGTTGCTTCTGACCAGGGCACAGTTTACATCTTGTCCTTTCAAGCAATAAATTATAAAGAGTAATGTGCATATCTCCCTCCATCAAACTCAGCCATTTTGGGCTCCAAGGAATCTGTTCAAGATATTGTTGCACAAGTGTGGATATGAAGTGGATTTTGAACTTGGGCAACAAAAGTAAGTAATGTATTTTTTTCAAATTAGTAACTGTAATATGATTACTAGGGGCGATCGTGGCTCAAGAGTTGGCAGTTCGCCTTGTAATCAGAAGGTTGCCGGTTCGAGCCCCGGCTCTGACAGTCTCAGTCGTTGTGTCCTTGGGCAAGACACTTCACCCATTGCCTACTGGTGGTGGTCAGAGGGCCCGGTGGTGCCAGTGTCCGGCAGCCTCGCCTTTGTCAGTGCGCCCCAGGGTGGCTGTGGCTACAATGTAGCTTGCCATCACCAGTGTGTGAATGTGTGTGTGTGAATGGGTGGATGACTGGATATGTAAAGCGCTTTGGGGTCCTTAGGGACTAGTAAAGCGCTATACAAATACAGGCCATTTACCATTCACAGGCCATTTACTTACTCTTGGACAGTAATGTAACACATTACTGTCCAAGAGTTAAAGGAAACTGTAGTAACAGTAATGAGTTACTTTGTAACAACCATCACTTATGCTAACAATGAGACATCAGCAATGATCCTAAAAAGGTGTTGCCCATCAGTCTGGGAATCGTTAGCGGAACATTTCCAAACAAATACAGGGAAAAAGATTATTCACATGGAACAATCGAGAGAGTTGCCAATCTTCCCAGAAGTGGACATTCCAGCAAGTTCAATCAAACCATGAACACCTCCAGAGTTAATGTGAGGTCTTATGTTTTTCCAAAATTACATCATATAATGATTCCAAGCACATAAGCAAATCTACAAGAAAATGACTGAAAAAGACAAGAATCATAGTGTTACAATGCCCTAGGCAAAGTCAATACTGCAATATTGTGGTGGGATCTTAGGAGAGCTATGTATAAACAAATGACCACAAACCTTGAAGAACTGAAGTGTTGTGAGAAGGAATGGGCCAAAATTCCTCCGCAATGATTACTCCGACTTATTGTTCCCTAAAGTGGTTCTACAAACTATCAGATCCTGTGGTGTGCCTTGTTTGTCCTTCAATACATATTTTTCTTTTTATCTTGTTTAAATAAACAGTAACACAGTGTAAAATCAGGCTGTATTGGCCTAAAATTCAGGTTGTATTGACCTAATTTTAAAACCTTAAAGCAGTGTAATTTTTCTCTTTTCTTTACCATGGTTGCATGTCTTGTCTCTTACCTCTCCAGGAAAGCCCTGTCCATTAAGAAGGTGCTCTGAACCTTGAGAGTCTTCACTCCCAAAGTGGACACGGACCTCTTCCAGACGGTAGCTGTATCCCAGTGGGCCCCCAGAGATGTTCACCAGGTGGGCTTTGTCTGGCCGCAGGGACACATGCTTCCCAGTGTTGTACATGGTGCCTCCCATCTACAGTGAAACAGTCAGAGGGGGATAATTAGATAATAAGATGATAGCTGTCATTTCACCAGTACATTTTTGTTAGATGGGAGCACACAACAGAGTAGAAACTGACTGAAAAATAATAAGTAGATCAACATAACGAGTCTTAAGCCCTAAATGGCACCATTCACAAAGCTAATGGATATACATGGTTTGTTATTAACAAATCTTGAATTGCATTTGAGCTACTAGGATCCAGTCAGTGCTCTGAATTGTAATGAGGTGGTAGGTAGGATTTTTTGTACAGACACAGTACAGTAGAGGTGCTAGTTTTTATGGCTTGTTAATGAATATCATAAAAGTCTGTCAGGCTCTTTCCTGAAATCTCTGGTTTAATCTGTTTGACACATGTTTTTGTGTGTAACTTGACAGAAGCTGAGAAAATCAGCAAAGGGATGACATTACAAAATGCATTACACACATTATTATTATGGAACCTTGTATTAATGAATGCATAAATCCACGACTGTATCAAACACAGTCATTTCTAAAATACATTAAGACTGCTGTAAAAATACATTATGGCAGTAATAAGTACCAGGGTTACCTGCATCCTCCTCCTGCTCCATCAGTGATGGGCTTGGCATTTGCCCAGTCTCAAACTAATCTGTTATGAAAGCAAACAGATTGGCAGCACTCACTATTTGTGGTAATATTTATTGTTCAGGTATGACCCATATTTTGGGGTTGATTTAATTCTATTGTGTTTATATCCACTCGTGATTTTTCGGTCGTAATGTTAGAAAAGTGTCAAATGTTGTAAAAGCAAGACAATGCAACAACCTGCAACATGATTTGCTACTTTTTTACAACACAAAAATCAGCACTACTTAAAATTATAATGACAGCACTGGCAATAAACTGCAAAACATTATGGAGTTTTAATGTGGGTGTTGCTTTTATTATTACTTTCATGAGTATAACATATGCCACCTCTTAACTCTTTCAGTGAAACTGTTAATAAACCACTTATGTATTTTTAACATGGATAATCCCATTGACCCCAGTGCGTAATCCCCCACCACCTGTCATTTAAGGGTCAAGCTAACCCTGGAAAACAGCCACCCCCTTCTACTTGCAACTTATTTGTTGTTAGCAGATATCAGGACAGCGATTGAGGTTTGGGTTTTTTTCACAAAGTAATAATAAGTCTTGAAATGTCAACAACACAACTGATCATAACCACCAGCAGGGGTCTGCTGCTCATTACTATACCAGGCCTTTTATCACAGTTTGGCAGGCAGGGAGTGGATCCAAGTGACAGATGGTCACTCAAAAGGTTACTTTACTATAATATATATATCTAAAATATAAAAGCTCAGAGACTACAGAAGAAACACAAAACACAAGGGGCACAGAAGGAAAGAGCATGAAAAACGACTTGAAAGAGGACAAGGGGACACAAAATAAATACATAGCAGGTAATGTGGGAAGATGGAAAACAAGTGGAAAACACCGCGGGAGCAAATCAGAATTAACGAGACAAGTTAAACTGAACAAAAACCACATGAGACAACAGACTTATCTCTTAGTAAAACGTACAGGAAACATAACTAAAACCAAGACGGAGACTAAGACTGTTTAAACAAACATGGAGACATGACTGACTTCACAAAGGAGACGCTAAGGGACAAAACACAGAAAGGGGACAAAAAGAATAAATAACCTAATCACCTAGTCAAAAGTCATCTATAATTAACCTGGAGACACAAACTAAGCCACTTCTCAAACCCCAAAAACGTAACGAAACTACAACAACTACTGCTGTGAGAATGTGATGAAGTGATGAAGTAGTCAGATACCCTAAAGACGCCATTGGCTATTATGATTAAAAAGTAAATCCTGTCTTGTATATTTAAAAGAAATTGACTTAATCTACAAAGGCAGATTAGCAAGTAGCAGCTCCTGCTACAGTTATGGCACAAAGGCTCCTGTAATGCAGCACAAGAAATCACTACAAGAGTAGGTGGAGCAATTAATAGAAAACAAGGCAAACTAAAATCACTAAAAGCCTACAAAGTAAGTCATTTAAATAATGAATTATAACATTTAAATAAAATTTAAAAACTGTTAAATTAAATGGGATACACAGTCAATGACAATAACAACAATAAATTAATATTAATATGCAACTAACAATATGAAACTGGTGTGTAATTTTCTTTGTGCTTGTGGTACATTTCTGTACATGTTTGTTAATATTTCTGTAGTTTTGTTGAAACCAGAGAAGAAAATCTTCCAAACCAAACTTTCTTCTTGCTTTCTGCCACTTCAGCCTCAAATCATTCTTTTACAAAAAGTGTCCAATGTCCAGAGATGCATATTTTTTCTGTCTGGTTAACAGTGCCTCAGTCACCAAACCTTTATATTTTGTGCGTGCTAGGTGCCCTTATCCCTTCCTCTGTGTATGAAGAATACAGCGAATATGTTTGTGTGGATTAAAACAGCTTTTCGTGTTGCTAAAACAGCCCCAGAGCTGTATGTTGTCAGCTCCTCACAACACCCCTGGCAACACGTAAAGTATTAATGCTCTTTACCCGACTCCCAACCATATTTATCATACATATTATATGACACTGCAGCAATCACATATTCATTACCGCTGTTTGTATATAATAAATGAGGAGAAAGCACTCAGCTTTAGTTTAATTGTGACACACCACTGCTGGGGTAGTATAAAATTAAACAATTACTCACCAGCCTGGAATCTATTCACAGCATTAATCCTTGAAGAAAAGCACGGAAGGGATTTAGAATCTAAAAATGGATGATTTTCACTCTTCTACGTCACTCGACAGGTTCAGGAAGCATAAAGATAAATGCATTTTCATTTACACATGTACCAGTATTGTGCTGGAAAATTTGCATAGTCTAATCTTAAATCTCCAATTTGAATTCAGCGAGCTACGTCGAAGAATGGCCTGTTTATAAGAAGGTGTGTGAGTTACATCAGCAGACTGTTGGCTACTGGCCCAAACATTTTCACAGTTCACCAGCATGTTGTCTTAATTGAACCACCCTCATCAGGTCATGCTACAGCTAGGCTGAAAATGATTTTCCAACCATTTTGTTGTTGGTTTACATGTGTGATTCTGGTCCTGTGGCATTAACCTTTCCAAAGCTCCAGGTCTTGGACTGCTGCCCAGACATTATTTTGTACAATGTCTTCATAAAGCTTTTAATTCCTTGTTTATTCCAGGAGTGTGACAGTGTCACTGTCAGTCACAACGTGCATAGCTATGGCTGCAGCAAACTAGTTACTGAGGGGAAAGAGAGCAGCAGTAAAGTGGATAGTGGATCTGTAACAATAAAATTACTGGCAGGTGATTTTTTAGCATGTTTTTTTTAGCTATGCTTAGCATGCATAGTGTGCTGCAAATTTACAACAAACCAATTTGAGATTCAGTTTTGGTGTACAGTACCTTTTCCTCCCCCTAACCACAGTGCTATATTCTTGCTAAATAACTTTACCCTTTGTCTAATCTGTCTAAACACCTTGTAGTAAGTGGGAAATGCTCCTTCAAGTAGTCTGCAGCATCTGCAGTGAGGTGGAAACTGTACCTCTCTACTGAGGCAAAGAGAGAACTGAGCGTAAAGGTGAGTAGCAACCCAAAGATCAAAGATACAAGGGGCAGAAATTAGCTTTCTCCAAACGGTGTCTGGGCTTAGCCTTATAGATAGTGTGAGGAGCTTAGTGATTCGGGAAAAGCTCAGAGTAGAGCAAATGGTCTTCCATGAAAGGAGCCTATTAAAGTGGTTCCGATATCTGTAATTCCTCGTGGGTGAATCCAAACTAAAAAGGGCATGCCTGACCCCCAGACAGATCAAGAACACACTAGAGACATTACATCTGTTTGGCTGGCTTGGGAACACCTTCATATCCCCAAGAAAGGATAGAGGAGTGCGATCTAACCATCTCTGCTTTGACTATGTTGCTGTGACCTATACAAGTGGTAGAACATGGATGGTTCAAAGTATCAAGATAAGACCAAGTTATCAACCAAAAATGCAGAAACTTTCAGACTTCACCAACTTTTTCTGTCTTTGTATGTTGGTGAAAAATCCTTAAGACACAGAGTGCTCTGATGTTACAGCAGAGAGGCTGTGTGTACAGACAGACAAGCTAAGATCTCAAGTCACTTCCACATCTTCTAACAAATCTGCATTAGACGATAGTGTTGTTGCACAGCAACTGGGACTTGCCAAATGCATGTAGGAGTTCCTTATACTGGATTGATGAAAACCAATCAAACATACTTCAAGTAATTCTGCACAAACAGGTTACCGCTGTTTGATGTGTGGTCTTAGAAAATCAAAACAGCATGAGGAAAATCTTCAAAGCCTTTTTGTGGTTTCCATCAAGCATACGATTGCATCAAATGTATATACAGGGAGAAGCGTTGGGGTTAAAGATAAAAATAACATGAAGTGACACAGAGATTTTAAAGGAGAACTTGTAGGAAATGGAAATATGAGCGGAAAGGGGGAGCATTTTTGGAAATAAAACTAATGGAACGAAGAGAAGAGAATGGAGATGGTTTGGTAAGCTGAAACAGAAAAAAGAGAGATGCGATGGTCGAATGGTTAAGGCACTGGACAGGAAATTTAATGAGGACCTCGGAGCACGCTCAATCCCCACTAACAATGAGATGAAAAGGAAAAAAATTAAAAGTTTTTGGTTCATTATCGGTAAATGTTCTGAGTGAAGTGGTATTCATGTGAAACATCAGAACTTTGGTTGAATTAAACAGATATATAAAGTTGGACCCTGATCTTGCAAAGAAAAGCGTCTGGACTTCTTTAAGTTACTTGAAGACGTTTCACCTCTCATCCGAGAAGCTTCTTCAGTTCTAAGGTCAAATGGTGGGGAGTCCCAGATTTAAACCTAGTGGGAATATCTCCCCAAAGAGGGACAAAAGGACCCCCTGATGATCCTCTAATTGCCTGAGCCAAGGTGTGAAATTGGG